AATGATATCTAATGAACAGAGATGTGAGTAGATAATCTCTCAGGTTTCTTCCAGTTGTAAATTGTTATTTTGCTATGAAATGAGAATAACTTGAGAATAATAGCCAAACTGAACATCTGACCAGTATATCCTTGAACAAAAAAATCTTGATTTATTTTATAATACTTGGCAGAAACAAAAGTCTTGAGCACTTGGGATGTTTAGATAATTAAGGAACAGATGCTAACAGAGTGATGGATTGTTTGGGGCTTGGCATGTTTTTCTTACTTGTACTTTCCTTTTTACTCTGGATTTCTCAATAGCGGCATGCATTTCTAACCCTGTTTTTAGATATGACTTGAAAGTAAACAAGATTCTATTTTCTTGTCAATATTTATTCAAATTCAAAAAGAGAGAAGAGCTTCTTATTGTACTACTAAACTAATTTACTAGGCTTATTTTAACATTTTAGTGGGTAAGCCTCATGAAGATAGAGATTTATTCTCATTTTGTTCATTAATAAATAACAAGTTCCCAGAACAGCACCAAGAGCAATAGATACTTATTTAACAAAAAAGCTACATTTAAGTAATAAAATGTTACAAATGTGGAATGTGCTATCTTTTGTACCTCAATCATGTTCCCTCCCAGACTAATCATTTATGCTTTCTTCTGTAAGATTTATATCCCTGTGCTTTGCCCAAGACTGGTAGTAAATTGTTTGTGGGCAGGCATGAGTAGGAAGCCTTTGGCTTGTTTTGGTTGGTGCACTGAGCAACCATCATGTTCACCACGTCTCAGGGAAAGCTGGAAGATTCGCTGTGTGTTTCTGCCAACTCTCTGCTCTTTTCCTGTCTCAAAAGACTATCTTAGACAAGGGTCATTTTTTCAGCCTGGGGCCTGGAACAAGAAGATCTATGGACAAGGCCCCCTGAGCTTGCTTACAGGTGCCAATTTGTAATATGAGTGAGAATGAACTGCTGTTGCTGCAAGCCAGTGGGACCTGGTACTTGTTTGTCATTTCACCATGTTCTAGCAACAGCCTGTGTGAATTCTGGGGAAATCTGTGAAATTTAGTGTATAAAAATGCATTTTTAAAACCCGGTTTTAATGGAAGTATTAAAGGTGCATTACAGAAAGTGAGGATGAGACCAAAAGGCTCACAGATGAGACTTGTTCTCTGGCATAATTTTAAGATTCCCAACTATTCATATGCTGAGCTGTGTGCCCAGAAATAGCACAGAGTGAAGGCTCAATGGATGTTTCATGCTTGAATAAATGCAATTTTCATTTTTATTTTGCATTTTTGGGGGACAAGAGGGGGAAAATTTGTTGGAAAAGAAGCTGGTGGGGGATATGACAGACTGCAGCAACAATGATTAATTTGGGCATACGTTAATTTTCCTTTTGCATCCTTGTAGAAGTGATGAAGAAAGTAGTGGCAGACATCAGACAGTTTATCTGATAGTTGTTGCTGCCAGTTCAGTTTCTGACTGATAATGATCTTTAAGGAAGAGTTTACTCTTGGAAAACATGTATTTGACTTTTAATTTAATTTTAACTACTTAGCATATTTATTAAGAATGTACTATGTGTTAGATATTGTACCAGGATAAGAAATGGGCTGCACTCCTACCACCAAATCATCTGCACACTCCACATCCATCTGATCTGTGTACTCCAAATTATCCCACAGATTCTTATATCCAAGATGTCTGCCTCAAACACAGTGTCAATTCATCCCTAATACAATTTGAAATCCCCTGCCATCCCATTCCCCACAAGAGTAGCTAGCAGAAGGCAGAGTAGATGGGGAGTGCATCTGTGCATGCAGTCTCTAAAGGTAGCATCTCAGCTATCATTGCCAAGGCCACAATCTGTTGACATTGGAGTTGTTTATAGGAGGTCCTTAGTTTATTTGCACTGCTATAACAGAATATCTGAGATAGGGAAATTTATAAACAGCAGAAATTTATTTATCATAATTCTGAAGGCTGGAAATTCTAAGATTAAGGTGTCAGCAGGCTTCATGTCTGGCAAAGGCCTGTACCTCATATATGCCACTAAATGTTCTTACGTGGCAGGAGAGGGAAAGAGCAAAAGGGCCCAGGCCCATCCTCTCAGCCCTTTCATAAGGCAGTAATCATTCACGAGAGTGGAGTCTTCAGGACTTAATCACATCCCCGAATGCCACAGCAGTGGAGATTTAAGTCTTAACATAAATTTTGAGGGGGAAAGACCCTCAGGCCACACAGGAGCAATGTGAAATATACTAAAGAGTAGCATCCTGTTTACAAGCTTACATTCCCGGCACCTGCACAATGCCAGGTCACAAGGTCAGGCTTGTTTCTTGGATATTAGGGCCTTCCTCCATCTGCATCTTGCTTATCCCCAACTCCATTTCAAATCATTCCTTTTTTTTTTTTTTTTTTTTGAGACAGAGTCTCACTCTGTCATCCTGGGTAGGGTACATTGACATTATACCTCACAGCAACCTCAAAGTCTTGCCTCAGCCTCCCAAGTACCTAGGTGTACAGATGTCCACCATAATGCCTGGCTAGTTTTTTTCTATTTTTAGTAGAGATGGGATCTTGCTCTTGCTCAAGCTGTTCTTGAACTCCTTAGCTCCAGGGATCCACCTGCCTCAGCCTCCCGGAGTGCTAGGATTACAGGCGTGAGCCACTGTGCCCGGCCATGGAGCTTAATTTACTTTTTCTTGGCATGCAGATAAATTGCAGCATTCAATAGTATGAAATGATAACCACACACAAAGGAAAAAGAAAAACAAAACAAAAACAAAATCTTTACTTGACTAGATCAAACAATGGGAAATCAAGAGACAGGGTGAGGAGGGCGGACCGATGCACTTGTTTGACTATGCATTTAAAACCACAGGCTCTTTGCATCTTATTTTTCTGCTATTCGTGGGTTCATCTTTTTTTTTTTTTTTAGACAGAGCCTCAAGCTGTCCCCCTGGGTAGAGTGCCATGGCATTACAGCTCACAGCAACCTCCAACTCCTGGGCTCAAGCGAGTCTCCTGCCTCCGCTTCCCAAGTAGCTGGGACCACAGGCGCCCGCCACAACACCCGGCCATTTTTTGGTTGCAGCCGTCATTGTTGTTTTGGCGGGTCTGGGCTGGGGATTCGAACCCGCCACCTTAGGTGTACATGGCTGGTGCCTTAGCCGGTTGAGCCACAGGCGCCGAGCCTCGTGGGTTCATCTTAATGGTAGTCTTCACATAATTGACAATTATAATTGCCGCTATATGCTTCCTTGTACACAGGCTGTCAGATGGTGTATCTATCATTATACTGCCCTTTTCAAAAGTGAAGAAACATTTTTTTTTGAGTTTTAAAAATCCTTATTGTTCATCACCAAAATTGGCCGTATGCTTATCCCGAATTTCAAAGGAATTCCAAAAGATAGTTTCATAGTTAACAGAACAAAAACATGTGAGAAAAGTTAATACTTTTGAATAATGAAAAGAGGGGAACACTTAAAAACCCAGAGAAGTTTAATGTTATTCTCTGATGTAATTCTCAGAGAGTTGGTTTGCGAGATTTAGAAAAGAATACAATTGAGATACTAAAAATTCCATTTATTTTATAAATTTAATTTGTAAGTTTGAAGGATGATAGAGGCTTAGTATTTTGACTTCAGTAAGTCATCTGATACATTTCCCCCGGACCTTTATTTTGATATGCATAGAATGAGGGAATGGCAACTAGATTCTGCAAAGCTAAAGGAACTTCTATTTTTGACCAAGAGGAATTGAGCCATAGGAAGTCTATGATGAATACGATGCATCTTGCACGTTGCTTTTACATGGTAGTACACATAATTTAAATGACTATTGTGATACTAAAACACTAGGGGATATATAGAATGGAATATATCAATGATATAAAAGTTAAAGAAAACTTCAACGTGATGACTTTGAGCTATTGTCTTTCTCCCCAATCCTTTATTCCTCTCTGCTCTTAGAGGTACTGGGCCCAGAACATCAAGAAAAATCGTGAGAGTATTTCTTTTCACAGTTTAGTGAAATTTTGTCAGTGAATCTCTATACTTAGATAGAGTTCATAGACTTAAAATGTTGTCCCCCTATTCAACTTTTGTGCAGGAAACTAATGAATACTGGTCTAAACTTTTGCACAGAAAAGTAATGAATACTGGCCCCTTCTAGATCCACCCAAATGGCATGTAAAGCCCTGGGCCAGGTTTAAAGAGGAAGGTTTTGGAAATCAGGCCTGTCCTGATTTTCCTCAGGGCAAAAGAAACTACCTATTCAGCTACACCCTGAGCTTCTCTGGATAAAGGCTGTGTTTCATAATATTTATTTTTGTATCCCATTACTTGACTGAAGGCTTGGCCCACAGTGAGTGCTATTTAAGTGCTTATTAGGTACAGAATATAAACTTCCCCTTACCTGTTGTCAAGTAACATGGATTTAAGGACATTCTACTATGGCTCAGCCCCAACCATTCAAGGCACTAGTTGGGGAAAGATTTACACTCCTAAGAAAAGAAATTCATGTATTTCCATGTGCCCTATTATGTCTTGGGCTGAGTGGAAGGTGAGTGGGAGGGTGCCTGTGGCTCTGGCTGGCAGCAGGAGTTCAAGAATGGATTTGACATCCCCTGTTCACTTTTGACTTCTTTGTTTCTTCTAGGTAGGATACAAGTTCAACAATGGAAAGAAGGAAGCACTAGTGATATCATTTAAGAAAAGGATGATTGGCTTGCATCCCAAAGCTACCTGTCTCTGAGTAGTCTCTCCTATAGGCAGCCCCAACAAATATAATGTACGGGGGTGAGGGGTGGGGGTGATCAGAAGGCTCCAGGGATGAGCAGAAGTATAAACCTAAAGAAAAGTGATGTCCCTTACAAAAGTATGTGTGAAAATTTTCCACTAAGCTTAAAAGACCATTCTTACGAAACTAATTTGATAATTATTTTATTAAGAAATATATAGTATCAATTACAAAGGAACATGTACATTTTCAAAAGTGCTCACAAAATAAATTAAAAACACATTTTATAAAGTTGAAAATGATATATAGAGTAGCTATAACAAACATACTTCCATGACATTGATGACTGGCTCTTGGCAGTAATTCTCAGCTGGAGTTGTATAAGCTTTATTCCAGGAAAGAAACCTAAAAGGTCTCTTTATAGTAGAAGAAGAACTTTTTCCTTCAAAGAAGAGAATGTTGAACTCAATGATAGCATCTAAACCTCTATTTAAAAGGCAGCTATTTCTTCTACCTGTAATGACATTTCTTGTGCTGTCCTACTAAAACTTCTGAGCCAGTCATCAATACCATAGAAGTTTCCCAGACATGTGAGGGGTAGTACTTCTCCTGCAGTATAAACTTAAATTAAAAAATGAAAGCTTACAAAAATAAGTTAAGAAACTCTTCTGGATTTAAAAAATAACTATTGGTTGTGTTTTAAATATCACAGTTAGAGTTAATGTTCTATCTACTTAATAAAAACGATTTCTTTTCACACTGTGAGATACGACCATAACAAAGAACGCTTCTTTTGTTTCTGAAAAGTTCGGCGGAAACGACGCCACAATCTTGATATTTGAGAAACTTGTTCCAGGCATTTATTTGTTGTGACTTCTCTTTTCTTTCCTTTTGTCGTTGCCTGGGTGTTATCTATCTGTGGAATAGGAGAATCAATAGTCAAAATTAATTTTCACTATCTTTAGGGACTCTTGAATGCCAGTTCCCCTTCCTTCTTTATCTAACTCCATCTCTCAGGGTGTTCCCAAAACACCTGCTTACTATATGGTAGTGTGTGTTTTTCTAGGGATCTACCACCTAACCCTGGCCCTGAGGCCAAACACCACCTCCTTCCCTAAGCCTCTGCTAGTTGCTCAAATCTTTCTTCAGGAAATTCTCAGTGTGTTATTTAACTTGGCTGGCACATGTTCTTAAGTTACATCATGGGCATTCCCCGCAGGGCTGAGTACCAAGTTTTATACTCAGGAAACACTTGATATTTGTTAAATGACTAAATAAATGAATAGAATTCTGATTTCATGATCTGATAAGATCGTAAGTTCCTCACGGGCAGGACCTATCTTCCACATCTTTATAGGCGTAATTTAGTAAACCTACTCTATTATTTGGTCCCGAAGTACTTCTGTTCCCTGTCCCTTCACCACCCGCATGTCTGGCAGACACCTGAAGATATATTTGAACAGAGGATTCTGGGATATTCTTTTACGTGAATTACCTTTGAGCAGTGATAGACTTGGCCTCCCTGACAAACAGTATTTAGATTAACCAAGTCACTGGGCTAGTAAGCAAAAATTTTACAGTCTCCAGTTTGCTAAATCATAATTATTATAGGGTTTGGATTTCACTTTGGGGCTGAGAGGCGACTGAAATAAATTTTACCAGACTCCCCTTTTCTCAAATGCTGTTCAAGAACTTGGGTTAGCCTATCTGTCCTTTGTGGTCCTCTTCCATGAATGAACTTCATCATGACCATCTGTGGATTTGCCAGGTTCTCCTAGAGCCAGACCAGTTTCTCATAATCGCCACCTTGTATTGACTTTCTAACTCAAATTCAGGCCAGGTTAGCCCTATGGTTTCAATTCCCGTCCCTTAAAGTGTGACAGTCTTGGCCACTGAGACACTCAGATTGCAGACTGATAAAGTCCACCTGATTAATAAACAGCAATCACACACATCTGCGCTTGCCTGGCTTTGTCTTTCTTAAACTTGTCATCCTGATGATAAAGTCTCCTCTTCTCTTGCCAATAAAATAAACATATACTAAGCACTAGATGTTTGCCAGCCATCGTACCAAATGCTTTTACATGCATTGACTCATTTAATTCTCGTAAACATCCTACTGATTTTGCTACTAATATGCTACTTACTTTGCCCATGAAGCCAAGGCACTACAAAGTAAGTAATCTATCCAAGTCTAGGCAGTTAGGAGTTTTAGCGCTAGGATACAGAGTCAGGCAGTCTCCAGAGTTCCTTACTCCTAACTCTCCCCTACACCACCTCCATAGTTAAAGTTACACAATCCTTCAACTGCACGTAGTCCATGTGCAAAAGGCTATCATGTAAAGAGACAGCAATAGCTCCCATCCAGGCATTTAGCAAACATAAGGTAGAGACGTTATGCGTAACATGACATTTTAGGAAAGAAGCATAAGTGACCAGCCCGAGCAGTGGTGTTCTGGCTTCGGAACGGACTCTGAAGAGAGCCTCACGCTCTGAGCTTTTGCTTTTGAAGGTCTGGGTTGGGACCCTCCGAGATGGCATTTTTAAACAGTCATGCGACCTAAGGTTTAGAACCATTATTCAGCTACAACAGAATCAGAATCTTAGAAATAGGCGACTTTGAGTCCAGGTGTCACTGTGAGACTAACTGACAACCTACAATTTGTACCTGGCTGATCGAAAGATAAAACCTGAATAAAAATCAGAAAGGCTTGTGCACAGGTGAGCCGGACGGTGTGGCCGCGAGCATCGCGGCGTCGGGCTTACCTGGCCCCCCGGGTAGCCCGGGCAGTCGAGGGCGAAGGTGGCGCGGGTCGTCAGCGCAAACACTTCCTTGGAGAGGGACGTGCAGCCGGGAGTGGGACTGAAGGTCATGCGGTCGATTTCACTGAGGCAATGTGACTGCTCACCGGCGATAAAGTTTATGAGAAAAGGAGAAAACGCCATAAAGAAAAAATCATAGAGCGGCTTGCTGTGCACGGAGTGCGAAGGGCGGCGAGGGAGCCGGTCGAGACGCAGCAAAGATGTCTCCGCGAGAGAGAAGAGGTCGCGGAGGAGGTGAGGGACCGAGAAGCGACCGAGGGGCGTGGCGAGAGTAGCAGAGGGAGCTTGACGCGACAGGACCGTCACCGCCTTTGCTCCGCCCCAGTCTCCAGCCCAGGAGCCGCTAAAAGCCCGCGCCCAGCGCGGAGGCACCGGACCCGGCAGGTGGTGCCCCTGACATGCTTCCCTGGTCCCAGCTCCCGATTTGCCTTTCCTCCTGGGAGGAAGACGGGCAGCCTCTCCCGGAATCCCGCTCGGTCCAGAGAGAAACCTCCTCCCTCTAAACTGGAACAAAAGTGGCGTCCCAAGCTGTGTGCAGCCCGGCTCTGGTAGCCCAGATGTCGCCAGAGGGGCTGGCGGCGCCTTAGAGCTCAGACGTTTGCCCGGGGTTCTGTGCACCACGGGGTACCCCCTCCTCAGAAAGGATTCCAACTGTCTGCAAAGCCAGCGGCACTGACCATTTACTCACCTTGTTATTACAGGAGACAGTGCTGTTGAACTGGGTGGTTTTGGTCTAGAGAGAGAGAGAGAGAGAGCGAGAGCGAGGAAGAGAGAGAGAGAGAATAAATATATCAAGAACAGCAAAGACTCTTCAGTCCGCGGGGAAGATTACTCTCTAACCCCTGCTCCCAGGCTTTAAAGATGCTCTGAAAGAAGTTTCTGCTTAGGTATCTGTTTCCTATGTCCTTGCCAAAGCAGAGACACGCTTAGTCTTCTTATGGTGCTGACTAGGGTTTGAAATTGAACATCAGAGTGTCTCAGACGGAGCCTCCCCTTCTCCCCGCCCCTCCCCCCCGCCCCCAGCAGGGACATCTGCGCACAGCATTAGGCTGAGGGCAACAGTGTCATTCTTTGAGTGCCCACGTGTACCTTGTAGACATTCGTGCACAAACTCTATCTAGAAATTAGAATACTCAGGAAAACGATTTCTCCTGTATATTAAGAAACCCAAACTAGGCCACATCCTGGAGTAGCAACCTGAAGCATCTGGAACTCTAGGAAGACCTGAAGCAGAGCTAGCTTCTCCCCTGAGCTGTCCACACTCCCTACGGCTTGGCTCTTAAGAATTCTTCCTTCTTATTCCTTCTTTCTCAAGCCCTTGTCCCCCTTGTCTTTTTCCTTCACAGTGAAAGCAGCAGTTTAGCAAAGGGTAGACACCCTGGTGACATGTTACCTTTTGACACTCCTCAATCACCATTGCACAGTTAGAACATACGGATTTCTAGCTATCATTTTAGATGCCAAATATGTTTGAATATCACTTGTAAAAATTTTCGTTAAAATTATGGGCCATGATTTTTCCCCCAAATTATTTGTCTTTTCTAGAAAGTTAAAATGTAGTTCAAGTACATGTGTGCCTACCCTCTGATAAGAATACATTTGTTTTAAAAAATTTCTCCACTTACCTTGTTCATATAGTGGTCCAGTTTCCTACAAATAATCTCACTTTTCTCTCTAATCTTCTCAAAGTCACAGTTAGTGAAGTCATAAGTTAGCACCAGCCCTGCCAGTTGCAAAATGAAGATCTTCCTGTAAAAAACTGACAGAGCAAATAGTAAGGCATCAGAGAATGTATTTGGAAACCCAATTCCACCCTAATCTCACACTAAACTCTTCCCACCAAGGCTGAACTATGTCCTCGTCTGCAAGGCAAGCCCAGGGGCCAGGGCCCAGGCACCAGCCCAGCTTTCCCCTCCCAGGACACAGGAGGCCATATTCACCCATGCTGTTGCCTGAAGTTGGAGTCTCCCTGATGCTCCAGAGCTTCTGGCTTCACATATATAACACCTAAACGCCTACGGGTCCTTTTCTCGTAGGCCAATGAGTTTCTTCCATGTCATCCTCTTCCTTTATAGAATTCTGAATTAGTGAAAGAGAAAAAAACAGGACTGGCCAAATCTATGGAATTTTAACATTTGTAAAATCATCAGGAATTTCCCTCACCTTTCCTTTCCCCCTTTGCCCTCGCCCTAGACATGTGATTGAAAGTGCTTTAAGGCTCGGCGCCTATAGCTCACCGGGCTAAGGCGCCAGCCACGTACACCTAAGGTGGTGGGTTCGAATCCCCAGCCCGGACCCGCCAAACAACAATGACGGCTGCAACCAAAAAATAGCCGGGCGTTGTGGCGGGCGCCTGTGGTCCCAGCTACTTGGGAGGCGGAGGCAGGAGACTCGCTTGAGCCCAGGAGTTGGAGGTTGCTGTGAGCTGTAGAGCCACGGCACTCTACCCAGGGGGACAGCTTGAGGCTCTGTCTCAAAAAAAAAAAAAAAAAAAAAAGAAAGTGCTTTAAGACATGGATGGCGCTTCTTTCTGCTCCAGGGCGGTTACCACACCAACCCTTTGTCTTTGGGAAGAACACCTTCTGAAACCAGAAGCTCTCTCAGGACTCGGGACCTCTGTCTGTGCATCCCCCACACCTCTGAGCATTTCTTTTACCACTTTTGACTGGGGCTTTACCTCCTCCGGGGCTACTGAGGAACCCATGTGCTTACTTACGGGATGCTTTGGAGGGCAGGTGAAGCCTGCGGCTTGGACAGTGCGAAAACGTGACATGTGCAATCATGACCAGATCTTTGGGGCAGGAATGATAAGAGCTTGACATAAACGGGGAAAGTTCTGATGGGCCTCGTGCTCAAAACTTCTGCTTCCCCATGCTCCCGTATCAATTTCAGGGAAAGCCCTACGGTTGGTGACCCGGGCACCTTAGGAGCAGAGACCAACTATAGCACGTTCTGGTAGATGTCACGAACGTTTAAAACCACAGAGGCAAGAGCCTTGCCGCCTTACAGCCCCATTCTTAGGGCCAGGGTAGCACTGACTACGCGGCAGGAGAAGCTGGGCCGGACGGCTTGGCTTGGTGCGCCCGGGGCGCGCGCGGAGAAGATGCTGTCAGGCGCGCGGCTGCCGGAGCGCGGCTGTCCGGAGGCGGCGCACGCTCCGGCCTTTGGTGCGCGCTGCCTCCTCTGCGCTCAGCCCCGCGCGGCGCAGCCTGGACTACTTCGGTCGCTTAAGTCTGAACTTGGGCACTGCGTTTAGAGACCTAAGAAGTGGAAAGTTTGATGGGCTCAGATTTGCACTCGCAAACCCCTGTTAGTGGAGAAAAAGCTTAAGCGCAGCCGAGTGAGGCAGGAAGGGCTCCAGAGAGGATGACTGCCGGCCTTCCAAAGCGCCAGCAGCAGCGCCAATAGAAGGGTGAAAAGAGAGGGGCCCAACACCGACTGGGCTGTTGGGTTAAATCTCACTCCTCGCCGAGGTTGGCCAAGGCCGCCCCGGGCCCTCCTGACGCCCAGATCCTCTCTGCCTCCCCCTTCACCCCCCTCCCCTTGCGTGCCAGAGCCTGCATGGCCCTGGTCCTCAGGGAAGTTCCTGGGAATCGTCAGCGGGAGCCCACGGAGCTGCGCTCCCCACGTGAGTCCTAGCAAATGTCACAGGCCATGCGGAGCCTGGGAACGAGAGCAGGGAATGGCTATGATTGCGGGGAAAACAGTGTCAGGGGCAAACTCGCGCCAAAGGTAAACTTTTTTTTTTTTCTTCTTCATAAAAGGCATTCAACAGCTATACCAACCAGTACAGCTGGCCCCAGTTCACTGATGTTAAGTCTGGAAATAAAGGTTATGGTGATAACAGAAGTGTCAGAAAGCCTCTGATTCACTGCCAGCTTCGAAGATGGGCCTTTCTGGAACTGTCCAAATGTTGGACTTAGGTCATGATGTCATTCTTTGAAAAAGAAGCCCCCCCCCCCCATCACCAGCTTCTCAGGATTTTGTGGAAATGTGCCAGAGCCTGATTCATTTGTTGTGACATCCAGAGATGATTCTGGTTAGCAGCTGGATGTTGGATAGGCAGACAGGAGCTACAGAACCAGATTTCGTCACCGGGTTGGGATAGCCCCAAGGCATAAAGGCAGTGGCATAGTGGCTGCGCCTGTCTCCCTCACCTCACACGCCTTTCCCTCTAGCGGCTGGCCAGGGGTGTGAATCCCCACAGGAACCTTCAGCTACATCTCGTGATTGCTGATGGTGGCAGGGATGGCAGAAGGCGGCAGCTGAACTTTCTCTTGCATCCTTCTGAAGATGTAACCAGGATGTCTTCCTTTCTTTGCCCCCCCCCAAAACATTTTGTTTATGGTGTTTGCCTGTGTTTGTAAAACAAAAGCCAGGCAGGCAGGGCGTCTTCTCAGCCATCCTGGAAACCCCAGAAGGTATCTCTTTGTTAAACACATTTCTACAAATTGGTCCCTATGACCCTCAGTTTATCTGCAATGATGTGACCTCTTAGATCACCTCGATTATGTTATTTTTCTGCTCACAAACTTTTTATAGATTTGAAGTTGTTCGGAGATTTACAATTATCACTCCTTCATGGATCCAAGCTGTATTTCCAGTCTTCCCCCTTCATGCTCCTAGGCTTCTGCCAAGCAGTATCCGCACGTAATCACGCCCTGAGCTTTCTTTTTTGTAATTTCACACCCTCCTCAGGGGCTGGATTCTTGTGCCATTCAATGTTCATTTTATTCGACATCTCCAAAAGTGGTCTCCTATCTGGATATGACTTTAATACATATTTATTTTGGGCTTCCCTTTTATGGCTTCTGCAGATTATGTAATATTTCAACAGTGTTTTTTAAAAATTTTTATTTCTTTATTTTTTGAGATAGAGCCTCAAGCTGTCCCCCTGGGTAGAGTGCTATGGCATCGCAGCTCACAGCAACCTCCAACTCCTGGGCTCAAGCAAGTCTCCTGCCTCAGCCTCCCAAGTAGCTGGGACCACAGGCTCCTGCCACAATGCCTGGCTTTTTGTTGTTGTTGTTGTTTTTGCAGCGGTCATTGTTGTTTGGCAGGCCTGGGCTGGATTCGAACCCGCCACCTTAGGTGTCTGTGGCTGGCACCTTAGCCACCTGAGCCACAGGTGCCGAGCCTTCAACAGTGTTTTTAATCATATCTTTTTATAAGATTGTGAGTTCTTTAAAGGTAAGTAAAGTTTTATAATAATTTGTTTACTATCTACTTTTTTCAAAAGTATTTGAAGTGATTTGAAATAAATGCATTGGTGCCAAAAGGTAAAAAACAGACAAATAGAAGACTGGAACTAAACAACAGAGGAGGGTGGCACCTGTGGCTCAGTGGGTAGGGCGCAGGCCCCATATACTGAGGGTGGCAGGTTCAAGCCCAGCCCCAATCGAACTGCAACAAAAAAATAGCCGGGTGTTGTGGTGAGCACCTGTGGTCCCAGTAGCACCTCCCAGCTACTCACGAGGCTGAGTCAAGAGAATTGCCTAAGCCCAGGAGTTGGAGGTTGCTGTGAGCAGTGTTATGCCATGGCACTCTACAGAGGGCAACAAAGTGAGACTCTATCTCTACAGAAAAAAAAGAAAGAAAGAAAGAAAAAGAATGGAGGAGGTCAGGATCAGGTGTGGGGAAACCTGTAGAAAAGCATTATTAGGAACAATTAGGACGTGTGAGCTCAATGGTGAATTCTAAGCTTCCGATCAGCCACAGCAAAAGTAGACTATGACAACCTCTACCGCATACAAATCATTAGGGAAGCTGAGTTTTCTTAGGCCAGTGGTCATCACCATAACCATAGTCCGGCTCAGTTTTATGTACTACATGTAATAGGCAATGAATCCTCAATTGATTGAAGCATATTAATCATCTATGAAAATCATTGTTAGGAAGCAAATTATTTTCTTCTGAAAGGACCTATCAAGAATTCTTTTTTCTGGCCCTTTGCTTCCATCTTTCTGGAATCTACTGGGGCAACCATTCAGGCCAGGGCATCTTTCTGAAAACTCTTGATGGGTTGAAAATATTCTTGTTTTTTTGTTTACTTTTGTTCAATTGCTGAAGGCATGAATAGTATCTAGGTGTGTAAGTTTGGGAAATCCTAGGTTAGGCCAAGAATGGTGTGTTTTCCATATGGTAGAAAATAGAAGTGAGGTCATTTGTCGTACTGTGTGATTACTCAGGGACCTTAGGCAATAGTCTCACCCAGGAGATGGGAGACAAGCTTGCTATAGCTCTCTTCTCTCCTGCCCTCACTAAAAACATGTGCCATTCATTTCCTTAATATTTTTATTTTTCATTTTAATAATAGTTTTTCTTCTTTCTTTTATTCCCTTATTTTCCCTCCCTCTTTTAAAATTTACTTCTTTCCTCCTTTTGTTTGAACTGTCCTAAATATTTAAAGTAAGCTAGACCTCATGCAAAACTCAATTTGGTTTTGAAAAGTAGATTCAAGTTGCCAAGAAAAATGGCTGGCATTTTTTAAAACACCTCATTAAACTTATTTTTGGACTTAAAAAATGCATGTAAGAGAATGAATTGATGGATAGAGAAGATTTCCCTCTCAGGAGTAAGAGAAGCCAAGGACACGAACTTAAGCTTGGTCATATTTCAGAAAGGATAACAGTGGACTTTCTATAGCAGGAGGATGCATTTGGGGGCCTGGACGTGAAGTGCATTGCTCTGGCTTCTTCAGCATGCTAGTCACATAATCACTCTTCTTCTCGGTTTTCATATCCTCATGCAGAAAGGAAAGTAATCCTGTGCAAAGGAGAACATGTTGCTGTTTTGAAACTCTACGTCAGTGTTCCTAGTTCTGTCTATTCCATAGGTCCTATTATTTATGTACTGTAAAGCAGCCAGGGACAAGTTTGTGATGACTGCAGCATTATACCAACTTTACCCCACTCTTTTGCATTATCCATTTGTGTTCAAGCAGCTTTACTCTTGGTTTGAATCACTGATTTGTTTCACCAAACTCCAGACTTCTTTAAGTTCCTTTGAGGACATCTGTGGACCAGAAAGTAGAGCAAGGGAATTTCCTATGACAAATGTGAAAAATATCTGTTTCATTTTATTTTATCCCCAGGCTGGTGATACCTGTTGTAATGAGCTTATAGCCGAGAAATGTTGCCATATCTTTTTTTTTGAGACAGAGCCTCAAGCTGTCCCCCTGGGTAGAGGGCTGTGGCATCACAGCTCACAGCAACCTCCAACTCCTGGGCTCAAGCGAGTCTCCTGCCTCCGCCTCCCAAGTAGCTGGG